CCCCAAAACCCCAAAACCCCAAAACCCCAAAACCCCTTAATCCTCATCTCTAATTGGTTCTCGATTTTGCTAATAATAACTTGCTTCAGAGATTTTACCAGGCGTCTTGTAATCGGATAGCAGAACTAGAGAAATCACTATTTTAGAATTACCTTGATCGAATGAGTTCTCTTGAATCTTCAGAGCACTTGAGTTCAAATTTCTATCGATTTTGTCAGTTGAGCTATTTAGCTTGGAATTTGATGCCATCCGTTCCTTTTTGAAGTACTGAATTTGCTTTGTGAGTGACTCGTTCTTTTCAATATAGCCTCTTAGTTGGCTATGGTACTCATCTATCACCCCAGATTGCTCATTAATCACCATTTCTGCTTGCTTTGTCACGTCAGATGGGTCTAGAGGATGACTAAGTAGGAATACTTTTTCTAAAATATGTGTATAATTTGCCTTTCTTGACATTGACGTCATGAACCCTCTTCTGCATCTTAATGAGTATATTCATATTTTTAAGCAGATGGTTCTTCTCTACTTTTGGAGCTGGTTTTGCTGATCCTTTTCTAACTGATTTTGTCAGTGCCTTTCTGGTTCTAAGGTTGAAATAAGGAACATACCTTTGTTTCCGGTCTGCTGTACTACCTTTGTATGGTTTGTAGAACGTAATGTTGTGGGTATTCGTTTTCTTTAATCCATAATCATCCCCACTCTGGTCTCTATTGGCCTTCCTGCCTGAGCTCTCTGTCTGCTTGGAGAGTCTAGCAATAATACTGTTGAGTTTGTTCTTCTTTTTGGTAGAACTTTGCTCAAGAGAGTTGCTTGCATAATTGTAACTGATAGAGACAGGCTGCTGCTCTCTGGGCTTCGCTCTTCTAATATTGTACTTAGATCTCCTCCTCTCATGCATGTTCTTTACCTATAGGATCATGAAAAGGTTTTACCTCCTCGCTTTCCTCTTTAGTGAGGGCATCTTTACGATAATGATTCTCTCTTGAATCATAAGTAGCTGATGTTTGTCTAAGAGCTTCATCTTTCTGATGGTTTATAGACAAGTTGATGACACCTGAATTCTGTTCTTCATCTGTAACTTGCTCGTTTTCTTCCCTAGCTGTGATGACATCATCAGTGGCATGGTCATTCTTCTGCTCTTCAATTACTTCTTCATGGAGGGATAGTTTTAGCATATCCTTCTGGTTCGGAGCTGGAGGTTAGAAAATCAGGCTTACTAATCACTGTAGTGTTCCTTCTAGCTGCTGAATTTATGAAGTTCTCTTTCTCAGGCTTGGATTCTCTAGAAGATTAGTCCCATCAGGCTTACACATGGGTGTACTTGTTGTAGCAGTTTTTGAGGAAAGATTTAACTTCAATCTTGCTCCTAGCAACTTCTCTAGCTTGGCCAACATTTTGGATGTCTAAGTACCCCAAATCCATGTCTAATTTATAGATGTTATTGGGTAGCTTTGATGGGTTTATGGTGTGCCTCCTTGCATGCTTTACCAACATCTTGTTTATGTCAGATCTTTCTGTTGTAGTCATTTTATTCCAAATTTATTTTGCAATTATATAAAATTGAAAAGGGGTTTTGGGGTTTTGGGGTTTTGGGGTTTTGGGGTTTTGGGG